CTCTCTCTCTCCCTCTCTCTCTCTTTCTCACTAAAATTTGAGTGTCGTTGGGTCCCATTTCCAAAACAAGAGGCAGCCATCTTTAGCAGTAGTAGCAATATACCTGAGGAGAGAGAGAGAGAGAGAGGGAGGGAGGGAGGGAGGGAGGGAGGGAGGGAGGGAGGGAGGGAGGGAGGAAGGGAGGGAGGGAGAGAGAGAGAGGGAGAGAGGAGATAAGACAAGTACATTGTGTATGATAGTATTAAAATTAGTTTATTAGTTTACTTGCTATCATCATCAGGAGAAGGTGACAACTAAAATAGAAAATAAATAAATAAATAATAATAATAATAATAATAATAATAATAATAATAAAGTACATGAGTCCCTACCTGTACTGAGGTGATGTGTCCAGAGTGTCCACTAAGAACAGCTAAAGGAGCTGAAGTGTGTCCACACCAAACCCTCACCAGTTTATCAAGACTACCAGTAGCTATCAGTGTGTTGTCCCAACTCACTGAGAGGTCAGTTATTTCAGCATGATGTCCTCTTAGTGTTGTCACCAACTGACCAGTCCTGCTACACCATATCTTAGCTAGATCATCATCAGCACCCTAGGGAGGGAGGGCAGGGGTGTACGCAGGATTTTTTAAAAAAGGGGACAGATGCGCACTGCAAAATTTTGCAAAACTACACCTTTTTAAGGTGTGACCACACCTATTTTCCAATATGGCAAACTTCTAGAAAGATCATAGGCAAAGTTAAATACCTTTTCAGCTTTATAATGGCATCATAGAAGGACTGGTTTAGCCTTTTCCTTCATATGTAAGTTGTAGAACAGCTTTTCCTTCCAAAAGCAGCTTATTATTTTGTTACTTTTAAATTTTGATTTTAAAAAAGGGGGGCATTTTCCCCCCTTGTCTACGCCCTTGGAGGGCAGGGGGTCCAGAGGAAGTGGAATGATTGAAATGAGAATACACTGTACATGATATACCAGTAATGGAGGACTAACGGTAATGATCCTTTGACCGGTTGAATCAAATGAGAGACAAAACACTGGAGCAAGATGACCTAGTATCACTGTGTGCTGTGTGTGTGTGTAGGGTTATCATGGTAACGGGAGGGTTCATTAATACATGTACATGTACCTTTTTCATTTTAGTGAAGTTGATTGGTTGAATTAGAAGAGAAGCCATAGAAGGAATGGAAGAAAGACGAGTAACTTTAACAAACTAGAACTAGCTGAGAGAGAGAGAGAGACAGAATCAAAAAATGGAGGGTAATTCATACCAAACAATCACCAAATATTATATTAATAATCTTACAATTATTCTTATTGTTATTATTATTATAAATAAATGATGATATCTCATTCCCAATTAGTGAATGACCTCCCCCTCCTCCTCTTCTAATGGAACCTGATGACTCCAACTGAGAGCACAACTCATTACACAATAATAATAAATAATCTGAGGATATGTGGACATTTCTCTTAGACTAGAGAGAGAGAGAGAGAGAGAGAGAGAGAGAGAGAGAGAGAGAGAGAGAGAGAGAGAGAGAGAGAGAGAGAGAGAGAGAGAGAGAGAGAGAGAGAGAGAGAGAGAGAGAGAGAGAGAGAGAGAATGGGTGCATTAATAATTAAGTATTGACCACACCCACTAATTAAATATGCGCGTTTCACACTTACAATTTCCTCAAAAGTTAACTTAGTCTCTTCTCCGCTCCATTTCTTACCTTTAAACAACAACTAGTGGATAAAGAGAAGGAGAGAGACAAAGAGACACACATTAGTAACAATAGATACACCAAAATAAGCTTCAGTGGACAATAGCACCACTTTTACTCTACACGGTTGGGGGACAAGATGGCGCTCTAGAGAGAAAGACGGCCAAAGCCTTCTCTATCTCTCCATCTTTCCCAGAGCTCAGGAAAAAGAAGGATTCTTCTCTCTCTTTCCTCTCACCTCCTTTTCTTCCAACTCTTCTATCAGTACCTGTAACAAGATAGAAAAAGAACAAGAATGAGTAACCACGTGTAATGGCGTGTCTCTTCTCTTCAAAAACAAACAGAAAAGACTCGCCCGTCTTTGTCCTACCTTAGCCGCTCTCCTACAAGAGCTCTCCTCTAGAAAACGGGCTATCAGAAAGAAAATCTCTAAATAGAGAGAATGAATGATTTAAGGAGCTATTGGCAGCCATTACAAGGAGATATTAAAAGAAAAGAGAAGAGATACTGCTCTTCTCTCTCCTTCAAACTGACCATTCCTCCTCCTCTCCTCAAGACATTGCTCATTCATGTTGTACTGAGGGGCGGGGTCAGTTATTAAAACTAGTTTATCTATTAACTAGGCTACTGTTTAATTTATAACTAGGGTGGGGCTCAGTGCGTTTGCAATAATTGCAAACTTGCTAAGGGCGTAGCTGCTCTACCTCAGTAAATATGTCAACCAAACCAGAGCAACTGAAAAAAGCCTTTGACAGAGAACTTAGTAAGTAGATATTGATAGTAAATGTTTTTAAATATTATTAATAATAGATATTACTGATTTTCGACTGGTATGGGATAAAGCTGGTGTTCTTTCAGGACGCTGGGATTCTGTAGCTATCATGCTGGGAATCAGCTACAAGAAGTTATATGAGATTGAATCAGAGACAAAGACGGCCAGAGGTTGTCTACAGAAAGTATTTGATTGCTGGTTGAGTAGGAACTATGACTATAAGAGTCATGGTGTCCCTACATTAAGAATGCTGTGTGACTCCATTAAAAGTAATAGTGGAGGAGCTGATCCAGCTCTAGCTGATGAAATAGCAAAAGAATTTAATCTTACTAGTAGTGGAGAGGCTACTACATCACTAGTTCATACTCCATCTTCTAAAGGTAAGTTTAACAATCATTTAATAATATTTATTTAAAATAATTACTTTTATTTTTCTATTATTTCAGAAGCTACTCCAACTGTTGAGCTACCAGTTCCTACTTCACCTCAATCTGAGTCTTCAGTTGTTTACGTTAAGAAGAAATCATTTGAATATTTGCCAGAAAACCTGAAACGAATGATTGGAGATCTACAAGAAGTTTACCTTGATAATATGCGTTTTACTAAGAAATTGTTTCATTCTATTGATATCTCAGAAGTTATCGATTTCATTCAAGATTATATTGCACTTTTACTCAGTCCATGTTTTCGTAAAGCCCAACTGATTGAGTCAATTGAAAAGGAGTTTGAACATGTTAAATCAATGAGTCAGCTGTTTAAAGTATTACGAAAGTATGTCTCGTGGTTCAATTTTGAACTTGTCGTCAAGTTAGTCAATACTTTCATTACTGATGATAGAGATTTACAGAGGAAGTGGTCTACATATCGTGAGAAATTAAAAGATTATTTTAAAAATAACAATACTACAGCAGTTCAAATTGCAGACTCAATTGAGTTTGGTCTTTCTGATGTTCCAGGCACTAAAGTAATGATTGCTAAGGTTGCCAGAGACGACTACACATTAAATGATTTATATTTCTTTCACAAGCTAATCGCTGATGCACTTGAAGTTCCTCAATATAAATTCTATTTTTGTACAATTGACGATGGCTGCATGGAATTAAAATATTCCATTCCTGATTTTTTTAACTCTGTTCTCTTTCCATTAACCAATCAACAGTGTCATTCATTGGCTGAGATTGGAATCATAAAAATTACTTGTCATGAATATGTACATGAAATGAAACAGGTAAGTTAATTATTAATCATTTTGATATTTTATATTCTTCTTTTATAATTATAGCTACCAGAAAATGAATTAAAGAAGCTTCATGATTCTCCTATTGGTAATTATTATTATTATTAACTTTTTTAATGATATATTATATAGATATTTATGATCCTCTGTGGTATGAGAATACCAGCACTCCATTGAATGAAGCATGTTGGAGAGGATTAAAAGATGAAGTACAACGATTGATTGACAAGATTGGCCTTCAGAAAAGAGGTAAAAATGGATGGAGTCCACCATTAGCTGCTTCATATGGT